AAGACATAGGGCAACAATCCTGCCATGGGCAGTAGGGAGAGGCAGGGATGCTAACAGCAGGAGTCTGGTGGCAGAACATCATCAGTGCTGGGGTTGTCCGCCAGTGTGGGAACCACTCATGTGCAGGCAGGCTGCATCGCAGCTGTAGCTGTAGCACAAGCACATGCTGCTGTTATGCAGCGTGGAGGCTCTGCTGGCCCAAGATAATGAGTTATGCAGGTGACCCCACAAGCACGCTGTAGGATCAGTATCTGAATGTGCCCCGAGTGAACGAGAAAAAATACTTCCTACAGAAGTGTTTGAGACACCTCTTAAAACTTTTATTGGCACTATTTTTTGTATCACTCCACCTGTGGATCAAGGCATCTTTAGTACGTTCAGCCCTCAGCAGGAGAGGAAAGTTATAACTGATCCATTTCAGGAACCTCTAAAAATGACCTAAAATAACTTTTCTATATATAAAAATGTCACGATTTTAATGTCCATTATCTCATGACCTAGCAGGGCTAGGAAAAGCTATTGTAGATCATTTTTAGTGGTTTCTAAAATGGATTGGTCACACTTTTCCTCTGTGCAATGGGACACGGGGTACAAGGACAACTGGGCTTCAGAGATGTGGAGGGAGACAAAAGCCTGTGTCTGTGCTGATATATCCAGAGCTGTTTCATCCTCAAAGACTACTTGTGCTCTCCCCAGCTGAGCAGGGATGCTGGAGCTCATCAAGCAACAGCCATTTCCAACAAGGTGGAGAGACATAAGTCAAATGGATGCAAAAACTGGGCACCATGTGTTGGGAAAGACAACAATGTCCCTTCCACCAACCTTCTGTGAGGTCTGCAGTGATGATGACCCTGGCTGCAGCTTTTGCTGTCTGTCACAAATCTGAATTTTGCTGGAGTAATGCATGGCTTGTACCATGCAAGTGATGGGATTCACCCAGCTCTGACACAGCTGTTTATCTCCTTGCCCCAAGCTTTTGCAGCAAGGCTGGTTGCAGCCTAAGCCGCTGGTAAGCTGCCATGGATGGGCATTAAACACACTGGGTTTGAAGAGAGGACATAAGCAGAGCACGTGGGAAAAGTGGCTTCCTGCCATGTGAGAGGTTAATAGACAGATTAGAGAGGGCAGGCACTGTTTGCAGGGGGAAAGGAAAGGAGCTCTGCCTTCACTGAGTTCAGCACCTCCATGAGGCAATGAGGAAGTAAATATTTGCCAGGGTTAGGGATGCTGCATGCAGGAGCCAGGGGAGAAATGTCAGTGCAGGGAACACGTGTTGCCTGGGCTGGTTTTGGTGATGGGCAGGGGCTGAGAGCTGGACATCAGCCAGGGGAGGGTGGAGGAGGTGGGAGCAGGACACCCCACACCCAGAGCCACTGCCCATAGCCTCAGGGCAGAAAAAGCCTTTAATGCTCCCTTGATGGCTTTGTTTTCCTCCACTGCCTTTCTTGCTCTCTCCATTGCCCGACGGGCTGGCCCACCTCCAAAGACAGCATTACGGAGTGCCGGATCGATTGGAGCCTGCAATTTTATTTGCTCTCTTTAAGAGCCTTTGTAGAATGAGCTGTGCCAGCGAGTGCCTTTCCTGGGAGAGGAGGGGAAAGGAATGGGATTGCAAGCCGGCATCTCAAACAGGGAGATGGGGGAACTGCCACTTCCCTATGGGAAAAGACACTGTGGCTGGGTGGGCAAAGACAGCCCTCCTGATGAGCTGTGGCAGTGAGAAGAGGCTTGCAGCCCTCTCCCTTGTGGTGCCTGACAGTCATGGTCGTGGTCACCTGCATGGTGTCATGATCACAGCCCTAAGTGCACACTGTACTGGCCCATGGGGTGTACTTTCTGCCCATCAAGGTGAGAAGTGGGACAGTTGTGTGACATCCTCCTCCCAAAATGCCTGTGGCTCTGGGGCTGATGGCGCTTTAGAGAGATGGACCTGGAAGGAGTGTTCCTGTGAGACAGCCTGTCCCAGCATGGAGAGAGACGGTGATGTCTGGGGCAGCACAGAGAAGCATCCCTTCAACTGCAGTGCACTGGGGTGCTGCATGGGCATCAGGGTGGCAGAGATACTGGAGTAATTCTGTCCCCTTTCCCAGGCTCTCCTTCCACTTTGGGCTTGATAAAAGGGACCAGAGAATGAAAGGTGGAAGATGCAGTGGGCACAGAGGTTGGGGCTGAATTTGGGACCCCAGTCTAGGAGAAAAGGACAGGATCTTCAAGGCAGTGAGGCTGTGAAAATGGGGCACCTTCAAGGTCTGCTGCAGTGTGGGGATGGAAGTGGGAGGCAGTTTGGACAGCCCCCCTTCTCCCAGAAAAGCAACCTGAGCTCTCCCCACTCTCTTCCTTTGTGGAGGAAATATCACAGATCACCAAGAGCCAGATCCAGCATAATACTGGAAACAATGGAGATAAATTATCCTCAGACGAACTAATTGCAGCCCAGTGCAGCACCTGCCTCCTCCCGGTGCAGGGACCCTGCACGACTTCAGGGATGCTTACAGAAGCACCGACTGCGAGAGCAGAGCCTCTGCTTGCGCCCGTGTGGTGCGGGACATTGAGCACAAGCAGCAAGTGCAGGAGCCCGGCAGCATCCCCAGCATCTCCCCCCACGCAGCATCTGCATCCCCAGCCGGTGCTCCGGGTGCCCGGCGGGCGCTGTTAGCCCACACTGCCACCACGCGGTCAGTCGGACCTCGAGATCTGTCCCTAGACCCCGTGCACCCCTCCGAAACCCCCCCCCCGGGAGCCCTCTTTGCCCCCTGCATGCGGTCCTACTTCATCCCGGGGGGGCAGCGGTGGGGCAGGGAAGGGGTTAATGAGCAGCTGAGGAGGAGGATGGAGCTGTAGCAGGGATCAAGCCCTTGTCTCTGGCCTTGCGATTAGCCACTCTGTTTTGCTGCGGAGGGTCTGCTTGAATAATTTAGCTGTGAGGATCATTAACCAGGCTCTGGCCTTCGTCTGCCGACTGAAGGCTGAAATAGCCATTAGGAGGAATGAGCATCATGGGCCGGCACAGCCTCCCCTCCCTGCCAGACCATTCCTCTCCCTCTCTTTCCCTCTCCCTCTCCTTCTCCTTTTCCCTCTCCTTCTTTTCCTTCTTTTCCTCCTTTTCCTCCTTCTCCTCCTTTTCCTCTCTCCTCTCCTCTCCTCTCCTCTCCTCTCCTCTCCTCTCCTCTCCTCTCCTCTCCTCTCCTCTCCTCTCCTCTCCTCTCCTCTCTTCTCCCCTTTTCCCTCTCCCTCTCCTCCTCCCTGCTCCCTAACTCTGCTGCCCTTGGCTGTCTTACCAAACACTTGCTTCCTTCCCAGCCCTGCCCCAGAGGTACTGGCACACATGCAAGACCCATGCCTCAGTTTCCCCTATGTAGACTGCAGGAGGGTGCAGCAGCTGGAGCTTTTGGAATCCCCCCACAAAGCTTTTCTAGCAAAACCCATCATTTGTTTCTGACCCTGGGCTCTGCTGTGCAATGCTGACCCAGGATCCATGAGGACTGCGCTCGTGGCAAACCAGCGGGCTTGGCCCAGTACAGAGGGCACAGTTCAAGCAGTTTTCATCAGGGTCCTGCTGTGGTCCCAGGTGGAGCTTAATCCTTGACTCGCTGCACCCTTTGCTTCTCTGGCATGGCATGCAGAGCGGTGTGAGGCTGGTGTGTGGCTTCCCTGCACCAGCATCAGTATGGACTGCTCTATAGCAAGACACGGTGCATGCATAGTCCTGTGGGACTTGTGATTTGCCCTTGCAGGCTTTGGAGGAAAGCATTACCCAGCCTGGGGGTGCTCCCTGAACTCTTGCATCACTGCATCCCTGTTTGCAATCTCATTTTGGGTAACAGCCATAGGTAATGCATGTGCCTCAGCAGCAGGGAGGAGAGCGGTCAGCCCTGCTGGGACCTTGGTGGGGTAGTGAGCAGCAATGTCTGTGCGGAGGCTGTCAGGTCTCCTGGATTTGTTTCAAAACCTCTGCTTGGAGAAAAGAGTGTGTCCTGGCACGTCCTGGGGAATGCTGGGGGACATGGAGACAAGGGCTAATGCAGGAAGAGAAAGAGGAAGCACTACAGGTTCAGACAGCCTTTCCAAGGGAACCCTGGTACATATCCAGCCCAGGGAGTGCATTTTGTGGCAAGGTATTGTGCCAGCATTCTGCAGTTAAAGCCAGACTCTGCTCTTAGCAATGCAAGTCTCCAGGTATCGAGGAGCTGACTTCAGTGTCAGGACAGATTAGGGTTTTACCAACCTACAAGGGCAAAATTTATCAGCTGCAGGGTCACATCTCCCCCTCTTGCACACACGGACCCTCAGCATTCTGCAGTCTTCCTGTGGCTCTGTCTGTACTCCTGCTATGAGCACACAGTGCATGTATGACCAGGGAAGCCGAGTGCAGTGTAAACACTTGTTTGGACTTAGCATCCTCTTCTGCCTCCAGCCTCTAGGACTTAGGGCCCCGGGATGGGATGCTGAAAGCGTTAACACTGCCAGTCCCCCCGCAGAGCTGGATTTTCTTTGCCTGTTTTAAGGTTGTTCCTCCTCATCTTGCCATAAATGGTTCTTCTTTCCTCCCTTTGAGGACCTCTGGTCTTTCAGAGGATCATCCCTCAACAAGTTTATCGCTCCCCAGGGACATAGCAGAGAAAGCTGTAAGCACTGTAGCTTAATGGGGTCAAGAGAGCAGCACCTCCTCCCCATCAGTGATGTCTCTGTCACAGCCTTGAAGACAATTTGCCCCGATACCTGCCAACCTCCTCTGTCATTCCATCTCTCATTAGAGCTGCCAGGGGAGGAGGTGAGCTGCTGTGCACAGCTCAGCCAAAGCAAGGTCTCATGGGGAAGCTCAGCAGCAGACATGGGATAAGGGCCCCTAAGTCCTTCACACAGCTGATGAACACAGACCAGGCTCCCCTCACAAACTGTGTCCTTCCCAAGCTGGCAGTTGTTAGGAATGAAGGGACACCCCCTTGTTCAGAACCTGGTGATAACCCCACCTCAATGGGCTTTTTCTCTTCTCCTTGCAGTTCCCCCAAAGGAGCCAGTGCTGATGTGCCGGTCCAACAACTACCCGAAGGGTTTCTACTGCAGCTGGCACCTGCCCACTCCCACCTACATCCCCAATTCCTTCAACATCTCCGTCATGTAAGTGCTTGGGAAGGAAGGATACAGCAGGGTGAGCTTTTGTCTCTGCAGCCTGGAGCAGGTCCCAGATATTGCTGTGAAGTGTTGGGGCAGTGGGTCTGACCTCTGCTGAGCATATGGGATCAGTGTCCCAAAAGTGGGCTGGGGGAAGGATGCTCCAGGGACCTCCAAACTGAATGTTTGGCACCAGGGCTCTGTTACAAGTAAGTTCTAATTTCCCCAGAGGAGACCAGGGAAGTCCCCCCCACCCCAGGCCCCCTTTCCATGACCCCAAGTCCATCCTCTCTGCACCACTAGTCCATAATGGAGGTTGTGCCTGCTGCTTTTTGGCACATCTGGCACAGCCACACTCCCGTCTGCCATACACCGGCTGTGGCCATGCAGCAGCAGTGTCCTCACCTAGAACTGACTGGCATGGCATCATCCTCCTCTCTGTGCCTGGGTCCTGCCACAGCCCTTGTACACACTGGTGCTATGTATTATCTTCTGGGACTTGTGTCACCAACAAAAGGAGACCCTGTTCCTCTTACAGGAGAGACAGAGCCAACCCCAGCACCAGCAGGGTCTCATCCTTTCCATGGGGCCAGCATAAGGACATTCACCTCTGTACAGGCTTAGGATAAAACATCATGCACGTGAGCCTGCAGAATTCCCTGGTGGGAAGAGAGGAGCCCTTTAGCTGTGACAGGGGCTGATGAATGGGGACCATGGGCAGAACAGGAACAGAGCCATGCTCCTTCTTCCTCCTCCCTCCAGCAGCATGGGCACATTACCACCTCAAGCACTGCTCCATAAGTAACAGCTCTTCTCACCTCTTCTTTCCAGACACGGCACGAGGGAGATGGTCTGTGAGAAGGATGTCTTTCCCAAAAACAGGTGTCACATCAGGTACCTCCAGCTCTTCTCGACTGTGAAGTACAAGGTGACTCTGACAGTCACGAATGCCCTGGGCAAAAGCTCCACCACTCTCACCTTTGATGAGTTCGCTATAGGTAACTTTCACAGCAGCAACTGGCCTCTCTGAGATGGTGTTGGGGTTGGCTTTGGTCTGCATGCAGTGTCACACACAGAAGTGACAGGCTGGCTGTCCAAGTGGAGCCTCTGCCTATTCATGCATGAGATAGAGCTAGGGTCTGAGCCACACTGGCATCTTCCCAGTGCCCCCCTCATTCTCATGGTCCTGATGTAACTCATGCAAACATTGGAGCACCCTGGGGGACTCAGGCAGGATGCCCACAGGAAGTCCCCATGAGGGTCCCATCAGTGCCCTGCCTGGTCTCATTCCCAGTGGTCCAGGTCTCCTGTGGTTGCTGAGCTGCTCCCTGCTTGGGGGCTGGGGAAGCAACTGCCGTACGTTGGGCAGAGGGATACAAAACTGGTGTGATCCAAATGGTGCTGCTCTTCTTGCCCCTGTGAGTGCTCCTAAAAGAGAGGTTTGGTGTTTGTGCTGGAAGCAGAGTCATGAGAACAAAGACTGGAAGAGAAATTAAAATGTCTCATCCATATCCCCTCATCCGTATTCAGGATAAAACCCTCCCAAAGTCGAAGTCTACCAACCCCTACCTAACATGCTCCTAAAACCCTTATTTCCCCCTTTACACCTTTTCACTGCCCTACATGGACAGATGATGCTGTGCAAATGCTTTCCATGGCACAGATGCTTCTCTGATTGTGAAGAACCGGCATGGACTGAGCAATTCAATGCCAGGCATGACAAAGCAGGGAGCTGGGCACAATGCTTTTGCCACCAGCAAAAGGCGGATTACAGCCAGTGCTGAGACAAGACTGTTCATCCTCAAAGAACAGGAGAAAATAGGAAAGAACAGAGTTCAGGAACATGTTGGAAAATTATTTGCAAGTTACATGTGGCAATTACTGGACCAGAAAAACAAATAAATGAATCCTTGAAGTGCAGCCAGCAGTCATCCTTTGCTTTCGATGTGCTGCACGTCCCATTCCCAAGTGGCTGGAAGTGCCGGAGTGCAAGAAGAGGAGCTCAGCTGCCATCCCAGATTCTGCCTTTCTACTCCAAATCCGGGAAAACATCAAACAAGGAACAAGGTGCCTGGATAGAGCAGGGGAATTGTTTTGGAGCAGGGACTTTACTGCCGTGTCCTGCAGCCACGATCCATATCTGAAGCTTGTATTCATCAGTGCATTGCAGAAGTTGATAACAAGACAAAGAGCTTAGCAGGGAAGTGTGGAATTCTAGTCACTTGGGTGCCTTTAAATGGAAATTATTGTGTTTGTGGAAGATACACTCCTTAAAAATGAAGGTAACCTTCAGCCTGCAGGGCCCAGGACAGCAATTAAGCTGCATTTTCCAAGTTCCTTGCATTCCCTCCTGCAGGAGTTCTGGGCATCATCTTGTAACATCTGCATCCCACCCATGCCCTGCCTGGCTTCCCAAACATCTGGTCCTCCATCCAGCACACAAGGGCAACCCCTGTGGGAAGCACACCCAGCTGCAAGCCCTGGGCATCCCAGCACCAGCATAAGCCGGATCCACCGCAGCAGTTTGCTCTCAGGCCAGGTCAGAGGAGCAGTGAGAGAAGCCAGCACTGCCCCAGGACAGCTATTAGCATGGGTGCAATAAGGCTGCCTCTGGCAAGAGTGCCTGGAGGAATGCAGGGTGCCTTGGCATGTCCCAGCAGTTGTGTGAGACCCTCCAGCACCACATGGCAGATGGTCTAAGACCCTCCAGAATAGCACTTGGAGAAGGGGTGATGTGACAGCGCCTATAGGAAGGGCTGTGTCCTGCACCATGGAGCCAGCCTGCTCCCATAAACACTTCAATATCTACTGGCCTTAAAATTCTGTACAGCTATGAAATTCTCCTCGGGATTTGACACAGCCACTGTGCATAAGGAGCATAGACACGGTGCTGATTTAGTGTTCAAGCAGGCAGTCGACAGGCTTAGCAGAGTCTTTACCAGATGAACTCAGCTGCTGCGGATCAACAGCTACCTACCATGAACGGAGCTTCTCCTTATGCTGCCCGTGTTTCCAATTAAAGCAAGTGAACTGTGTTAGTGTATTTTGCCATGTAATCGTGCCCCAGGTTGTGTGCTGTGCTCACAGAAGCTTCTGTGTTTCAGTGTCTCTTCCGGCTCCCTTCTTTGCAGCTGCAAACCCAGGGCTGTGCTCCAGCAGTGTGGATCTCGCACCCAGTAGGTTCCCTGGGGATCTCTACCAGCACCAGCTGGGCTGAAATCTCATGTTGGAAGCTTGGTAGATGGGGGTGTGGAAAACCTACAGCTCAGGATGAAGCCATTGCATCACTGTGTCAGAGGGTTGCAGAATCCTCTAAAATGGAGAGGCGGTGTCAAACAGCAACTGCATGATGCTTCTCCTAAAATCCCAGGGTTGGGGATGTCAGATCCTGCCTTGTGTTTTCCCCTTAGCCTAGAGAAAACCATCACACCTTCTGCATGGAGGTTGAACCCTAGGTGTGAAGCCCTGTCCTCCTGCCCTGCTGGGGCAGATGATAACTTTTGCTGCCCCAAGTCCATGCCTTGCTGATGGTTGTTCCATGCCTGCTATTAGTGGCCAGCTGCAAGGGGTCACTCTGCTTTGTCTCTTTCAGTGATGACTGGAAAAGCTTTTCCAGCCCTCTGGACTCCACCTTTCATAGGTAGGAGATCCAGGCTGCCTTCTTCCTCATCTTGCTCCTGGAAATTGTCCTGCCATCTGCTCGTAATGGCTGGGACAGAATGGGGACATTTGTGGAACCCCAGGACACAGCCCCACCTTTCTCACTTGTGTTTCAGCTCAAGAACCACATAGCTCTCACATTCATCCTCCAGGAAAGCAGGGACATCATCACATTGAAGCAACACCAGCATCCCACCTCAGTGCTTTTCTTCTCGTGTGAGCCTGGGGCAAACTAGCAGGGGAAGATGCACAGCATTAAAAGGAGTAAGGCAGCCTTGCACAGGGCCTTGCAGGCGTGGGTGCCTTCCTCAGATCTGCCATCCATCTTTTGTGTGACCTTGGGAACATCATTTGCTTCTTCCAGCTCCAGCTCTGGGGTGATTAAGACACAGAGCATCTCACAGGGGCTGCATAAGAACAAACATGCCTGTGTCTGTATGAAATTCAAAGTCTCTGAACACGGGTATACAGTTGCCTAGGCAGAAGGTCAGTTCAATTCATACTACTTAGGGAGGCAGAATTAAATTACTTAGACTGACATTTGGCTAAGACACAGAGTTTAATATCCCTCTGCTCATGGAAAATGCCAGGGGATATTTAATGGCCACAAGGGATCCATTTTAGTGCTCATTGGAGAGATGGGATGGGTGACGGGCCCCCTCCATGCTGCAGGGTCTCAGCTGCCTTTCTGAACCCAGGCTTCCTTTCAAGATGTGTCTAACACGTCCAAGGGTGATGGATAGCTAAAGACTCACAGTTAACCACGAGCATGCGGAGCCTTTAGGGAAAGCTACTCTCTGCAGCTCTTCACAGAATCACTGAACGTTTGGAGCTGGAAGGGATCATCTGTTCCACCACCTACAGCAGGGCCATTTAGAGTGGTTTACACAGGGTCGTGTCTGGGAAGGTTTTGAATGTGTCCAGGGAAGGAGACACCACAACATCTCTGGGCAGCCACCCTCAATGTAAAGGAGTTCTTCCTCACATTCAGATGGAACTTCCTGTGTTTCAGTTTGTGCCCGATGTCCCTTATCCTGTTGCTGGGCACCACTGAAAATTCTGGCCCCATCCTCTTGATACCTTCCCTTAAGGTATTTATATGCATTTTTAAGATCTTCTCTCAGCCTTCTCCAGACTAAACAGGCCCAGCTCCCTCGCCCTTTCCTCATAAGAGAGATGCTCCAGACCCTTGACCATCTTTGTAGCCCTTTGCTGCCCTTGCTCCAGGAGCACCATGTCTCTCTTGCACTGGGGAGCCCAGAACTGGACACAGTGCTCTAGGTGAGGCCTCAACAGGGTTGAGAAGAGGGGGAAGGTCACCTCGTCCAACCTGCTCTTCCTAATCCAGCCAGGACACCATTGGCCTTCTTGGCCACAAGGGCACATGGCTGGCTCATGGACAACTCATTGTCCACTGGGACCCCCATGTCCCTCTCTGCAGAGATGTTTTCCAGCGGATCATCCCCAGCTTGTCTTGTGCATGGGGTTATTCCTCCCCAGGTGCAGTATCCCACCTTGTTCTTCTGGCACTCAAGCCCTCACTTGGAAGTGGCAACCGAAAATCAAGTGGGAAGAGCTGCGTGTCGCCTCCCAGCCAAGTCTTCTTCCTAGGAATGTCTGATGATGCTCCCTCAGCTCTGCAGGATTATATTACATCTGGTTTTATAGCCGCTTAACCAGTACTCGGCCTAATGCCCATCATCCATTATTATTATTACTATTACTGCTTTTATTATGTTACTGCCTGCAGGCCCTTGCTGAGGACAGGGCTCTATTATGCTGCCTGATATACAGCCAGACAGCCCCTGACTTGCCATGTGCAGGCTAAATGGAGGCAAACAAAGGCTGGGAAAGGAGGAGCACTCATCCCCATGCGTGGAACAGGAACCCGGGAGTCTGTGGAAGACGAAGGATTCCTTCAGGGTCACATAGAAATCAGGAACCCGGACACAGCCCATCTCCACTCATTCCTCATCCGGCCCTTGCAGGACCAGCCCTAATATTTTCCATGATGAACACAGTGTAATGAGGACTGTCCTAAGAGACGTAGGTCGGTCCTTGTTGGACCACTGCTGGGAGTGCAGTCCCCTCTCCTGGCTCTTGCATCCCTTACACCTCGGAGGGACGCGGCAGACACAGCTTTGACTTTGTGCTGTTGGAAGGGCTGGCCCTGCTGCACTTTCTAGCCTGGGCAGGAGTTCCAGGGCTGGGGACGTGGCTGGGAGGTAGCTGTGAATGCTGGTTTTCCCATTAACACACAGTGCCGTCTGAAGGCTTGCTGCAGCCAGGCACAGCCCTGTTTGATGGCAGGGCTATACGGTGCTCGCTTGGAGCCAGGGCAGCTCTCTCCTGTGCATCAGGGACAGTCTGTAATCCACAGGAGAGGGGCTTGGGGCTGGATGCATGCAAAACGGGTGTGTGTCTCCCACCTCAGCATCAGAGAACCTTTTCTTTGGCTTTGCTGCAGCCCACCACAGTGGCATCTCTTGTTCCTGCTCAAGCTGTGCCTTGAAAGGGACAACTGCATTTCAGCATTCCAAAAAAGCAGGGCCAGGGTCCCTGTGTTACTCCAGAGAGTATCCCATCACATCCATCTGCAGCCTGGTGCTTTCCTTCCCACTTCCTCACTGCAAAGCCACAGTTTATCATCATCTGCATTCATTCAGCCAAGCAGACTTTTGTTTGCAAACCAAGCCCGCCAAGCCAGCACTGGATTTATACTTTTATGTATATGTTTGGAATCCAAGTCCCTGTCGATGCAAGCTGATGTCCAGCCCAAGCCCAGGGATGCGAAACAAGCAGCGGTATTGCACAGCCATCTGGAGTAGCTCAGCACAGCACAGCCCCAGCAAGTCATCCCTCCTGCCAAGGATAAGGCTTTAAATGGAAAACACTGTCACATGCTGCCACAGAGAGGGATCAGTGAGAGCTGGGAGCTAGCACTAAGCACCTATGGTCAGGTCCATGGGTGCTTGCTACCAGCTGGTCCCCAAACCTCCAAGCATCCTCTGAGTGCTTTGGGGGTGGGGGAAGCTATGCAGCTCTTCTTGCACCCACTGTGGCAGAGGAAAGGCAATGTGAGGTGGTGGTGAAGATGACAGTGAAGAAGGACTAGAGAAGTGTGTATGCCATGGTGCTGAGAGGGAGGGCTGGGCAGAGGGAGATGGTTATAGCCTATGTCCTGAGGGAAACAGGGACAGATCTAGGATCCACCAAGGTGGTTGGGCTGTGTCTTCATTTCAGCATCATCCTCCTCCTGCCTCACCCACAGCCAGGAAAGTGGGTTTGAAAGCATCACAGGCTGATTTCTCCTAAGAGGAGCAAGCAGGGAGGGTGTCTTCCTGGGGACATTGCTGCAATGTCACCGTCATCCTGGAACAGAGATGGCACCAAACAGCTCACACACAACTCCACTTGCAGCAGACTGGCCCCACATCCACTGGCCTGATCCCATCCATACAGCTTCAAGAAGAGTGAAAGATGCTCTTCACACATAAGGCAGAGCTGCAAGCAGCAGGGAGGCTAGCACAGGAACAGCGCACTCATGAACAGCACCTCCTTTCTCTCCTAAGGGAAAAGGCCCTGTGTGGATACCACCTCCCACCCTGGGGTCAGAGTGGAGGAGGAGGGCTCTGAGTGCAATGCAGGAGATATACCAGACAGAGAGGGGCTCCCCATGCCCGCAGCATCCCTCTTCCATGCTTGGGAGTGGACTATGATGTTGGCACCTTCACAAGTGGCTGCTCAAGGTGATCAGAACCAGAGGATCCTTGCTCAATCCTGAGATCATCAAGCCAAGAGGGATCCACTGGCCTACCTGTGGACTTTGGAGGGGATTAAAACAGCCATTCTGGGACATGAGGACTCATATGCATTGCTATTCTTAGACTGCACAGAGAGCCCTCTTCCACCCCAGGCACAGCTGTGCACCCAGATCTCTGTGCCCAGTCCCTTTCTGACCATGGGAAAAAGGAGAAGTGTGGGTGTACCCAAACCTCGGTCTTTTTGTAGCTTTTCTATTGCAAATTGGGAGTTTGAACTGTCAGGAGTTGAGCAAACCCTTGGCAAGGGAGCAAGGCTCATTCTACAACAGGCAATGTCATTCATCACAGCCTGTCTGTGATTTGTTCCCAGCACTCTAAAAGTAGCTGCAACTTCAAAGCATGCTGCATAGGTCACAGCCAATTAATATTCACTTGAAATACTGGTTGGGTAGCAAGAAAATATCCCCATATCCCAAAAGCAGAGCAGGGCTGAGAGATATCTCCGGGGTGGAAGCTGACATTTGCATTCACCCTTGGCAAATAAGATCGGCCAAATCCCCAAATACTTCAGATCCCCAAAAGCCCAGCCTTAAACCCAAGGGCCAAATTGCCATTTTACTGCAAAATAAGCAGGTCTGAATGTGGGTCAGACTCACAGAAATCAGGAGATGTGAGGGAAGTGCAGGATTTGGGCTTGGTGGGCTCCTTGCACTGACCCAAGTGTCCCTGGGGAGGCAGGATACTCTGTGCCTTGGCCAGGTTATTCCTGTGTGTCTCCAGCACTGATTCCTCCTCCTTTTGAGCCAAGATCTGGACAAAAAAACACCAGATTTACATCTAATGGGGGAAAGGATACTCTGCGTGTTGGCTGCTCTCCTTAGAAAGCATGCATCGCAATGTCCAGTCAGCGGTGAGGAGGGCTCTCAGAAAGGATGCCATGTACAAAGCTTTACCTTCTTCTCTTTCAGTAAAACCGGACCCTCCGGAGAGCGTGGTGGCCAAACCCGTGCCCAATAACCCTCGCAGGCTGGAGGTGTCATGGCAAAACCCTTCATCCTGGCCAGACCCTGAGTCTTTCCCACTCAAGTTCTTCTTGCGGTATCGACCACTCATCCTGGACCAGTGGCAACATGTAAGTGAATGCTGAGCTGGCCGGGACGGGAGGGAGCATGGGGAGACGGTGGCTGAGAATAAATTGCACTGGGAAAAGTGGTCAGAGGTCCAGAAAGAATGTTTATTTACTGCCCAGGCAACCCAGACCTTTTTCCTTTCCTTCTCTGTTTCTCCTCCCTTCTCTCTTCCTCACCATATTTAACTTACATTCCACCTACAAATGCCTCTGCAGGCTCTCCCTGCTCCGCATTTTCATCCACGTCCCCTATCTACTTTCCATACATATGTTCTGTATAAAACCTGCCAACGAGATGTAAAAGGCATTTAAAGTATAAATGTCACCACATTTAAATGTGCCTCTGCCACATTTAGATTTTGAACTGAAGATAAAATACCACTCTCCCTATCTCAGAGCACCGTCATGGAGCTGCTGCTGCAGTGATATTGTACTTCTTTTATTTCTTGTTTCTTTAAAAAGGAAAAAAAATAGTCAGTGAAATCCTTGGCAGCCCAGAGGACAGATTTCATTTGTTAGCAGCAGGAAGATAACAAATGGGCTTTTTATTTCCCCTCTGTGTACTGCTTGCATGCTCAGCTTGTGAAGGAAAGCAATCTGGCACTCGAGGAGAGGTGCCGCTACGCTGGCATGGCTCATCCAGCATCCCCTCTGCACCGAGCTGGGCCAGTCAAAAGCTAATGAGATGCTTTCCTTGATAAAGCAGTTTTCCATGAAAAGACAAATAGGAGGCAGCACCCAGTCCTTGGAGGAGCTCACCTGTATCATGGGATGAAGTGGGGTTTTTTGCTGGGCAGCTCTTCCTGAGGAGAGAAATGGCTGAGAGAGAGGGTGGGAGGGTTTGCTCCTGTCTCTGCAAGATGTCAATGGCTCAGCGACTTTTTCTCTGTGTTTTGGTTGGGGTTTTTGATGAGGCAGCACCACAGGTTGTGTTTTAGATTGAAGTATTTGCTGATGGCTCTTGAAAATCACAGGGCATCCACAGTTTCTCTGGGCAGCCTATTCCAGTGTCTTCCCACCCTCATAGTGAAGAATTTCTTCCTAAAATCTAACCTAAATCTCCCCTCTGCCAGTTTAAAGCCATTCCCCCTCGTCCTATCCTTATGTGCCTTTGTAAAGTGTCCTTCTCCAGATTTCTTGTAGGCCCCCCTTTAGGTGCTGGAATCATTTTAGATACTGGAAAATCAGAGAAGGGTAGGCAGGGGGTTCTCCTGCTTGTCTCTTTGCCTTTCTCTTAAAAGGGAAACACCAAACACAACATCATTTTTTCCAAGGTGAGATATTGTTGTGGAAATAGCTGATGTTTTCCTCCTGATACAGCCTGATCCAGCCAAGCACACTGCAAATGCAAGGGTTTGCACCCAAAAACTGTGGGAAAGCCAGGGAGCTGCCTCCTGCTCAACACCCATGGGGTGCCCGGTCCTTCTATCACCGGGTATTAGGTATCATATATGCAGGGTCAGGCTTCTGAGGGGATGGTGTGTCATCTCCATCAGTGCTCTCAGGCAGGCAGTGGTGCTAGGAAATACATGGAGGTGTTGGTGGTGCCACTTGAAGGTCCACCCTGGCCAGAAAATGCATTTCTAGGGCAGTAGAATCTTGATTTCTCTAATTCAAAGATACCCTGAGAGAGCTCACGGTACCAGTCTCATGGTGTGTGCAAGGAGGGCTGTGAAAGCCTCATCTCCCCACATCTCATGAGGGCACAGCAGTCATGGGTGCTGCTTTTAATCAATATATCCCCTTCCAAGAGACATGTTCCCTGTCACTGGCTGATGGAGAAGTGTGCTTGGGGAATAATCTGCTTGGTGAGCAAGCGCAAACATTCATCGAGTGAAGTACCAGCCTTGTTTCCTGACTCTCTGCCCCGCCAGCTGGGTAATGAAAAATCTGATTTGTGGATGATTTGAGGAAAACTGCCACTATTCATCAGATGAATTATTTGCGAAGCCTAATTCAATCAGCTCCCAAACACCAGGGGATGGCAGCAATGCAGCAGACAGAGCTGCTCCGACCCCAGACCCCTCCTGGTATGCTCAGCCTGCTCAGTCCCGCTGGACATCCTGCAAATGCAGGGGTTTGCAACCAAAAATGAACCCTGCCAATGCCAGCGTGCTGGGAGCATCCCCAAGAGCTCTGCTTTGCTCGACCTACTGCTTGGTGGCATCTTTGGGAGTGTCCTCATTCCCTCACATCCACCCAGGAAAGGGAAGGATGTGGTTTGGTAAGGCCAAGCCAGCTCGTCCTGTGGTGGCAGTGCTGGGTCTCTCCTTGCAGGGACAAGTGCCCTGAGAAAGGATGCAGTGGTCATGCACACCACACTCGCATTGGGGGGACTTAGTTCTTGCTGAGCTGAAGGTCTCCTTCCACAAACTGTCCCCATCTTGGCTTGTGTTGTTCCCAGCAGCTGCTGGCATGGAGAAGCCATTGCACACAACATGCTTTTTGGCAATGGGGCAGCTTGGGAGAAGTCTCCACCAGCAGCCAGGAGGAGCTGGGTAACCTCATGCTCTGGCACATCCTGCATGCCCAATGTCCCCAAGGCTAAGCCCCATCCCTGCCTCCTCACCAAAACCTTGTGGCTTGGTTTCAAGCATCTCCTGCCACCTTCTTGGCAGCCCCATGGGAAGCTCAGCATCCCTGTGGGAGCAAACCCACAAGGACGCACCAGGGACTGCCCAGAGGCAGCAATATCTGTGCAGGCCCCGATCACACATGGTGTTTCTTGTCAGAAGAAGCAGCTCCCCTTTCACCCCTCCACCTCCCATTATCATTTCAGGGTCTGATTTATGCACAGCACCTCAGCAGGCAGGACTGAATGAGCACTAATAGGATCAGATGGATGTCGAGCTGTCGAATACCGTACGGCCTGATTCAATCAGCGTCTGCTTTCTCCCAGGCTCTTTCTTTCAGGATTTTAATAATGCCAGGGCTTGGCACCAGAAGATGAAGCCATGCATGGCAGGAGAGGTGGATCTTATCAGGACCACCGCTGTGCGAGCTAGCCATAAATGCAGTTTCTCCCCACAGGGAGAGACAGGTGATGCTTGGCCCAGGCAATTCCCCCTCATCAAGCAATATCTGGGGATGACCCAGAGCCATGGGGACGCCTTAATTCCTTTCCAGGCACTTTGCAAAGGTGGGTCTGATCCTCAGTGTGCCGTTTGCAACCCCTTTCCCTTGCTCAGCAGCACCATTCTGCTTCAGGCCACTTAGCATCTCTCACGTTGCAGTTTGCTGTGGGAATTATGATGATGTGTTTCCATTATCATGGAGAGATGATGATGATGAGTTTCCACATGGGCATGTGCTGGATGCGCCTTGCACTATCAAGGAGCTTTGCAGCATCAGCTCCCTCGAGCCTGGGCAAGGGTATTTCCTGGCTGTTCAGGGTGCAGCCGTGTCACATCATGTCACATCATGACTCCCCGCTACCCTACGAGCACAGAGCTCAGTCTGAAACTCAAGCGACTTTAAAGACATGCTTCTCCCTCTCTGGAATAGGGGCTGGTGGTTTCTTTGCTGCCAGAAAAGAGATGGGATATTTGTAGCCTAAACAGGTTTTTTATTCTCTCCTTTTGGCAGAATCTCCCCTTCTGTCTCCTAAATATAAAACGTTAAATGTTTAGGGTATCCTTTATTTTTCTCCTGCTTTTAAGTTTGTAATTCAAGCCAGATTAGCGTGGTTTCCTCTTCTGTTTTATAGCCCCATCCTGGCCCCAAGCGAGCTCTCCTAATGCTCTCAGATGTTCCTCTAATGGCTTACCTAGGATGGAACTGGATACCCTTTCCTAATGGATTGCTAATAGCCTGTTTCTGGTTTTACAGGCTCCTTCAGTTAACTCGCAACAGCAGCAATCGCCACGCTCACACATGCGATCTCCCTCCAAGCATGTCTGCATGCTCACTCCTAGATGCAAGCTGGTGTCCAGGCACCATCCTGACCATCTCTGGGCAGGCTTTGAACCCAATTTCGTCCCACCCCATGGTGTTTGTTGGAGCAGGATCTCCACTTTTCCCAGTTTTTTAGGGGGAGATCTCATGCACTGAGCACTGACCAGCTCAGGGCACATCCCTGGAATATGGTGGGGTTCAGAAGGTATTTCTTAAGCAGTGTCAGAGCTGGTGATCAGCCCGAGAGAGGATTTCCTCCTGTGGCTTGCCAGCAACTTGCAGATGCCTCGCAAAGTCTAATTGAACCCATTGGCCGTGCTGACTACATGAAATGTTAACGAACCGTGAGGCGGGCTGCGCCTCAGATCTTGAGATTTGCAGTAAAAGGTCATGAGGTATTTAAAGCTAATAATATGGTTGGGTTCTCTCCTTCCTCTTCTGTTTTGGAAGCATTAGAGCCATGTCTGTGAGCATTTGCAAAGGCTAGAAACGTCCCTCTTTAGAATCGGAGGTGCTTTCAGCACTTTGGGATTTTAGGAGCCTGGGCACAGAGCTCCCAATGCAGGTATCTGTGCCAGCTCTGATCCAGGCAAACAATGGGGATCTGGGGATAGGAATGGGCAATTTGTGGGTATTGCCAAATACTTAGTTGTTAGGTTCATTGGTGTAAGGAGGGCACGGACATCTGAGCTGACCAGCACCACTCACGTGTCAGGGCGGCTGCCAGGATGTGCTCAGGCTCATCTCCCAACACAAAGCAACATCTTTGGGTCAAATAGGTGACTCTCACAGGCTGAAACAACCTGCAAGTGTGTGCTAAGGTGTATATTCTCCCTGCGACAGGCAAGCGGGAGGGATGGAGCTGGAGAAGGCAATTACTGCCACTGCCTGTGCAGCTGCGTCCCCACTGCTGGCACAGCAGCAATGTCACTTTGTGGTGGGCGCGCTTCTTTGCACCCATCTGCTTCCTCCCCATGCCTCTGTCTCTTTGCCTGCACTCCCCCCCCTTTGCAAGGCAACCTTGGCAAGGAGGTCACCCTGAGTGAGCTGGGTTACAGCTTCACGGATGGCAGCTTTTATTGCGGCACTTCTCTCCCTTTCCCTCCCGG